GCATATACAGTTCAATATACAATACATATAGTTTACTTCACTGCATACACAGTTCAATATACAATACATATAGGTTACTTCACGGCATATACAGTTCAATATACAATACATATAGTTTACTTCACTGCATACACAGGTCAATATACAATACTTATAGGTTACTTCACGGCATATATAGTTCAATATACAATACATATAGTTTACTTCACTGCATATACAGTTCAACATACAATACATATAGTTTACTTCACTGCATATACAGTTCAATATGCAAACCTTATAGTTTACTTCACAGCATATACAGTTCAATATACAATACATATAGTGAACTTCACTGCATATACAGTTCAATATACAATACATATAGTTTACTTCACAACATATACAATTCAATTTAAAATACATATAGTTCAACATGCAATACATATAGTTTACTTCACTGCGTATACAGTTCAATATACAATACATATAGTTTCCTCTACTGCATACACAGTTCAATATACAATACTTATAGTTTACTTCACAGCATACACAGTTCAATATACAATACATATAGTTTACTTCACTGCATACACAGTTCAATATACAATTCATATAGTTTACTTCACTGCATATACAGTTCAATATGCAAACCTTATAGCTTACTTCACAGCATATACAGTTCAATATACAATACTTATAGTTTACTTCACAGCATATACAGTTCGATATACAATACTTATAGTTTACTTCACTGCATACACAGTTCAATATACAATTCATATAGTTTACTTCACTGCATATACAGTTCAACATGCAATACATATAGTTTACTTCACTGAATATACAGTTCAATATACAATACATATAGTTCAACATGCAATACATATAGTTTACTTCACTGCGTATACAGTTCAATATACAATACATATAGTTTACTTCCCTGCATACACAGTTCAATATACAATACATATCGTTTACTTCACTGCATATACAGATCAATATACGATACATATAGTTTACTTCACTGCATATATAGTTCAACATACAATACATATAGTTTACTTCACTGCATACACAGTTCAATATACAATACTTATATTTTACTTCACTGCATATACAGTTCAATATACGATACATATAGTTTACTTCACAGCATATACAGTTCAATATACAATAGATATAGTGAACTTCACTGCATATACAGTTCAATATACAATACTTATAGTTTACTTCACAGCATATACAGTTCGATATACAATACTTATAGTTTACTTCACTGCATACACAGTTCAATATACAATTCATATAGTTTACTTCACTGCATATACAGTTCAATATACAATACTTATAGTTTACTTCACTGCATATACAGTTCAATATACAATACACGTAGTTTACTTCACTGCATATACAGTTCAATATACAATACTTATAGTTTGCTTCACTGCATATACAGTTCGATATACAATACATGTAGTTTACTTCACTGCATATACAGTTCAATATACAATACATATAGTTTACTTCACTGCATATAAAGTTCAATATACAATACATACAGTTTACTTCACTGCATATACAGTTCAATATACAATACTTATAGTTTGCTTCGCTGCATATACAGTTCGATATACAATACATGTAGTTTACTTCACTTCATATACAGTTCAATATACAATACATATAGTTTCCTTCACTGCATACACAGTTCAATATACAATACTTATAGTTTACTTCACTGCATATACAGTTCAATATACAATACAGATAGTTTCCTCTACTGCATACACAGTTCAATATACAATACTTATAGTTTACTTCACTGCATATACAGTTCAATATACGATACATATAGTTTACTTCACTGCATATACAGTTCAATATAAAATACATATAGTTCAACATGCAATACATATAGTTTACTTCACTGCATATAAAGTTCAATATACAATACATACAGTTTACTTCACTGCATATACAGTTCACTATACAATACATATAGTTTACTTCACTGCCTACAGTTCAATATACAATACATATAGTTTACTTCACTGTATATACAGTTCAATATACAATACATATAGTTTACTTCACTGCATACACAGTTCAATATACAATACTTATAGTTTACTTCAATGCATAAACAGTTCAATATACAATACATATAGTTTACTTCACTGCATATACAGTTCAATATACAATACTTATAGTTTACTTCACTGCATAAACAGTTCAATATACAATACATATAGTTTCCTCTTCTGCATACACAGTTCAATATACAATACTTATAGTTTACTTCACTGCATAAACAGTTCAATATACAATACATATAGTTTACTTCAATAGTTTCCAACTTTGTAGATATACTGTCAAATGAAATAGCTAAATACATTGCACTTTAAAGTTAAGAAATATGGAATATGCGTAAGAACATTGATTGGTAGCTCCAATCATCAATATAACAGAAAATTAAAAATGGAAAAGTATTAAATCTAATGGTGTAGGGGAACACTTACGCATACTTAAATGTACCCCGACGATGATCTCGCTCCTGGGGTCAATATCTCCGCCTGGGATCCAGTAGATATGTGGACAAACATGTGAAAACTCATATTCAACATCATCTGTCAAAGAGAGATGTTGAAAGTGTGCAAAGCGACGAAATAAATATTCAACATCATCTGTCAAAGAGAGATGCTGAAAGTGTGCAAAGCGACGAAATAAAAACGTACACAGTGTGTAAAACCTCATATTCAACATCATCTGACAAAAAGCTGCTACATATGTATGAAAATCTCGCGGATACAAGAAAATGCTTTTATTTATTTGAAACAATTTCAAATATGTTCGATTAACTCATTCACCCCTAATCAACTATTCCATCATTTGAATTTGAAGAGTTCAAATGCGTCTTCAGGGGTAAATGAGTTCAGTGACTTTTACACATATACGGTCAAAACAGGATGTCATTACTTAGAATTTCATTGCAGTAATGCCGCCATTTTAATCAATTCAGTAAAGATTGCGAAATCAGTAAAAATAGCAAGCACCATTACCATACTCGGTAGAATAAAACAATACTATATTTCTATCCTCAGTCAAGGTAACATACACTATTGTTATACTGAGTAAAGATGACATACACTTTTTCTTTACTCATGAAAGGTAATATACACTATTTCTATGCTCAAAAAAGATTGCATACATCCACCATTTTTATCATAAATAAAAACAAGAGGCCCGGAGGGTCTTCATCGCTCACCTGAATATTTAAGCAGTCATTGCAAAATATTCTCATTAATTATTGCCCTGTACTTCAAATATTTCACTCGCAAACTTTGTCGACTCCATCAGATGAAACTACCAGCCAAATATTATCATATGATTCTATGCTTTTTTATTCTTTTTCAGAAGAAGTTCAAAGCGTTTGACATATTTGACCCCTGTAACCTTGAAAGAAGGTCAAGGTCATTTTCTTTTTTAAACTTCTATCCCAGGAAGCTTTTAAACTTCCATCCCAGGAAGCCACTAGCCAAATTTGAAGATTCCATACTTTTCAGTTCTTCAGTGGAAGTTGTTTAAAGAGTTTGACACATTTGACCCCAGATACCTTGAAAGTAGGTCAAGGTCATTTTCATTTTTAAATTTTGTCGGGTTCTATCCCAGGAAGCCACTAGCCAAATTTTAAGATTCTATACCTTTCAGTTCTTTAGTGGAAGGTGTTTGAAGAGTTTGACACATTTGACCTCAGAGACCTTGAAAGTAGGACAAGGTTATTTTCATTCTCGAAGTTTATCTGGCTCTATCCCATGAAGCAACCACACACATATGAAGATTCTATACCTTTCAGTTCTTTAGAAGAAGTCGTTTTAAGTGTTTGACACATTTTACCCCCGAGACCTTTAAAATAGGTCATGGTCATTTTCATTCTCAAACTTTGTCGAGCTCTATCCCAGGAAGCCACCAGCAAAATATGAAGATTCTATACCTTTCAGTTCTTCAGAAGAAGTCTTTTGCATCGTTTGACATATCTGACTCCTGTGACCTTGAAAGTACGTCAAGGTCATTTTCATTCTCACACTTTGTTGGGATCTTACCAACGAAGCTGTCAGCCAAATATAATGACTCTAGGTCCGTCCGTTCTTCATAAGAAGTCGTTTTAAGGAAAAGTTGACGGACGGATGGAAGACGGAAGCCGCACCATGGCATAAGCTCACTTGCCCTTCGGGCAGGTGTGCTAAAAAACTTCTTACTATGTTCCTATGTTCAGTAAAGGTTATAGTCTGCATTTCTGTACTTAGTAATCGTTAAATATCCACTCTGTTCTCAAGGAAACACTACATTCGGTCTTATCTTTACTGAATATCTATTCTCTATTTCTAAGTAAAGAAAACATACACTGGTTATATACTAAGACATTACTACATAACCCGTACATAGTTTTACAAAGTTTAGTAGAGTTTCCACACGCTGAATTACATACCTCGTGAGTATAACATATTCTAATTCTATACTTTATATTATAGTAAAAATTACATACTCATATATTTGTACTTGCATACACTCTTTCTCTTTATGACAACAAAAATATCAGACTTACCACATGGTTTTAATACCCCTATCTTCGCCTCCTGCGGAAGGTGACCGCCCACTCCAATACCGCCAAGGGGTGTTGCTTCATTGTTGGAAGAGCAGTAGACTAAAGCCACCACCAAGGCCAAACTTAAAGACGTGTAAATACCCACCATTGTTCTGTAGACTACATGCGGATGATTTATGGGAGTCCTACTAACAGTTGTCAGGTGTCCTTTGATAACATTCGGAAACCTTTAAAATATTAAAATTCATTAAATCATCATCACTACAAATGTATCAGTAACTATTTCTTAATCGGTTGATACAAATGGTTTTTGGGGGGGGGGGGGGGGGAGGGGCATCAAACGACAGCAATTAACTGAGTATTTCCTGTGTCCTTCTCTTAAACATTTCATTGGAGATTTTAGTGTTCAACAAAAGTATATCATATAGTGTTAGGTTTATGTCAGTGTTGTACAATACATTAATATATCAATTATTATTAGTACAGCAATTAACTTACAGTTTAAATGAAGGGTATCACCTCCGTGTCGTCGTGAACCGATATAAAATGGTGCACTATAAATGCTTCCCAACCAGGAAGAACAGCGTTGATCAGTTTCTTTTGAACATATTATTGTTAGCCTTGTTAGTTAAACGAGTAATCCAAAATAATATTAAGATTTCTTCCAAGATAGCTTTCAGTATATTCGCGTTTCAAATGTTCTTTTAATAGTTTAAACCTATATTTAATTAATACCATTAAGGGTTTTTTATTTAGATTTTTAAGGCATTAGAAATGGAAAGAAGTGTCAATATGTCGATAAGCTAACCAGACGATGACGTACAGAGACTATTCAAACGAAGCGAGCGTGACCAACCACAGGTAATTCCAGTCTTCTTCGTTTCGCAATATAAACCTTGTATTTCAAGGTATTTCCCCGCATTTTCTTGTTTTGATCAAATCCAATCCCCTTTATTTACAAAAGGGGCATTTGAAATCAACAGCATATATATGTCCTCAATAAGTCACTGCAGTTAAAAAAAATCTTCCCTATTTTTACCCATCAAATCGAAAGTAGAATCTAACAGGAAGTGACGAACGAAGCAGCAACATCCGGTGTTTATTGGCGGGTCGTTCAACAAGGAAAAGATGTCGGAAGGTACTGAAAATTATTTCAGTGTTGACGACATTCTTGCCACTCAGGAGCGATTGCCATGTACTGTGGAAATGACAATTTATCGACTAGGTGAGGAGCAGTTTCATTTCATCTATGACGCTTAATGAAATATTACATTATATCTCATGCAGGACGTCTGTAAGGAAGGAATCATTCTTTCCTCGGACTATCAAAGATTGGAACAAACTCCCTTCTCAAATTATTTCTTCTGATTCACTACTGTCCTTCAAATCATCTAACTCTGTTCATCAATATTAAGTTCTGTTCCTTTCCTTTCATAGCGGTACACCTATATATGACATTACACCAGGTCGGGGAAAACCACTAACTTGCGTATAATACGCAAACTCGCCTATTATACGCCAACAGGGGTATGGATTTGTTACTAAAAATAGCCAAAATCACTTTAATCTTAAATTTTTCACATTGTTTGTCCAAGTCGCATTTATTTAGTCATGAAACATAATACAATGTAAAAATAAACTTTATTTGCATGTGGGAAAGTACCAAAAACAGATGCAATACTTCCGGTAAAGTTACATCAAGTTTCTAAGTAGCCAACACTTTCAGTAAACATCTTTTAGCAAATTAATGCGATTTTGTATGATATCTTGCAAAGGTTACTGTTAAAGCGATTTGGTTTATTTTTAGTAACAAATCCATACTCCGACTGGCGTATAATAGGCGACTTTGCGTATATACGCAAGTTGGTGGTTTTCCCCAACCTGTTCACTATGCTGAAGTAGGTCATCAAATGGTAGAATTAGAAGTACATTTGTAACAAGGTTGTAAACTTCGCTCGTAGCAGTACCACACCTCACTTCGTTTACCGAATGCATTCTGGTGATAGTCAACAAAAAAGGAAAGAGAATAATGTGCTTCCACCGGGGATCAAACCCTCAATCTACAGGTTCCTGTATAAAAGACCCTGTATATAACGTGAATAATTTAATTCAAAGGAATATAGACAATTCAGTCTATTGTATTATAGCGGAACTACACTGAGTTGAATGTCTGCAACTGGCAGACTCATATTCTCTTTGACCTGCATAGTGCCAGTACATCCAATAGGTTTGATAGCCTATACTCAGACCTTGACACATGCAAGTGTAAATACCATCAACAGTAGTAATATTCAACATAAACCTCTTCATTTATCAACCCCAGTTAGAATTATCAAGAAGCGGTATACCAAAAGTAAGACCAAGCCCCTTAGAATACTAAACATCAACTTTCAGTCTGTTAAAAACAAACAACACCTCCTAGACAATCTCCTTGAAAGTACCAAGCCAGATATCATCATTGGCACTGAAACGTGGCTAAATTCAAACATCCATAATTCAGAATTTTTCCCCCAATACTTTCAAAGTGTATCGTAACGACAGAAAACCCCCAGAATAATGTTAAGGAAGGGAGAGGAGTCCTTATAGCAATAAAAAATGACTGCATCAGCGACGATTTACTACCAGATAATACCACAGAAATAATAAAAATTGTGGACAAAAAACCATTATACATATGCTCTTACTACAACCCCAAAACATCAAACGATATCAGCTGTGCAAGGCTTGATACATCTTTGAGAAAAGCAACTGCCCTAAACAGCGCGGCACTCCTTATTGGAGGTGACTTCAATCTGCCAGGCTGGGACTGGGAGCGAAGGATTATCAAACCCAAAACTAGCCATGTCCAAAATCACTATAATTTTTCCAACTTTCTAGATGATACTGGTCATGTACAGGTCATAGATCAACCAACTAGGCATGAAAATACCCTTGATTTCATAATCACAAATTTCCCTAATCAAATTTCCCGTACTGAAGTCATCCCTGGTATTTCAGTCCACGACATACCATTTGTCGAATTTGATATTGAACCCCAAAGAGCCCTTATCAGACCAAGAAATGTCCCCATCTATAAAAAAGCTAACTGGGACAGCATCAGATCAGACCTACCAGACATACTAAATTCCATCCAAACTTAATCTGATCAAGATGTAAATACAATGTGGGAAATCTTTAGACTCGGTCTGGTTAATTCCATCCAAAACCATATCCCCCACAAAAACATCAAACCCAAACCTAGTCAGCCATGGGTAACCCCTAATATCAGAAAACTAATGCACAAAAGAGATAGACTACAAAAAAATGTAAAAAATCAGGGGATGTCAATATGAAATCCAAATATAGGGAATTAAAACATCTTATACAAAAGTTATTGCGTCAGGCGTATTGGCATTACATTGAAGGAATTACCTCCCCTCCAAAGACCGATTCAGACTATGGGACAATGAAGAGATTCTAGTCCTACATAAAGCAGAAAAGATCAGACTTTGACGGCATCTCTTCATTAAAACAAAATGGGAAACTTGTCCATGACCCTGTCAGTAAGGCTCAAGTACTAAACAGACAGTTTCAGTCTGTCTTCTCTACTTCAGAGAAGCTCACTGCAGCTCAATTTGAACAAAGATGCAAAATCTCTGCAAACCCGCAATATCAAGTTATGCCAGATTTCACCATTACCGTCCAGGGTGTTGAGGCACTACAGTGTGAGGGACATAGTTACCACATGGAAAGAAGACCTGTTATCAGACAGGACACAGTCTGTCCTTGTTGAAGGTGAAAAGTCTTGAGTACGTGAATGTCATGTCTGGAGTCCCCCAGGGCTCGGTCATCGGCCCTTCATTGTTCCTGTTCTACATCAACGACATGCCAGTGGGTCTAGATGCAACTGTCCGTCTTTTTGCGGTTGAAACCATTGCCTACCTGGCTATCAAATCAAACAGTAATGCCCTAAGGCTACAGGCTGATCTAGACCTACTTGCACAGTGTGAAGACAATTGGAAGATGTCATTCCATCCTGACAAGTGTAATGTCATGTCAATCACTAGGAATACGTCCCCCTGTCAAATTCCAGTACACTTTAAATGGTAATTCACTCCAACATGTAGATGATGCCAAATATCTAGGCCTTAACATTCAATCTAACCTCAAGATGGACACTCATATAAATAAAGTCTGTGCAAAAGCCAACTCCACCCTAGGCTTCCTTCGTAGAAATCTTTAAATAGGTTCCACATCTCTCAAGGAAAATGCATACAAAGCTCTCGTCAGACCATCCCTTGAATATGCATGTACTGTATAGGACCCCTACAATAAGACAGACATCCAACAAATAGAAATGGTGCAACGTAGAGCTGCTTGGTATGTCACAAACAGGCACCGGAACTTGTCCAGCGTTGGTGACATGCTGAATACGCTGGGCTGGCCCTCACTGTATACGCTGTATAGTAGTATATACATATCATATCAGCGTGCCAAGCACCTTAAATTAAAGTTGCAAATACCAGTTTAATGCTGATAAAGCAGACAGTGCAAGTTAAAAAGCAAACAGCTTTGAATCAAAATTAAAATTGGGTGTGATATTAACTAGTGTCAACTATTCCACACATTTGGAGGGTGAGGAGGGGTGGGGATGGGTTGTGCATTGGGCAGTGTAATACATATAGTACTAATACACAGCTGAAATCACCAGTCAAGAAATAAAAACATTCAATTAGGATAAGCTTGTTATGGTTGGAATAACCTAAAGGATAAAATATAGATCTGTACGAAAGATTACAGTGCACACACTAAACGGGGTTGGGGGTGTCGCACGATAGATAGAGTATAAATTTATATCTATTATTCATTAAGTAAAGGGAACAGCGTGTCGCATGTGCTGGTGACACCCCGTTAGATCCGCCTCTTGAAAGTTAACTCGAGAAATAGCAAGCTGAATATCAAATTTAGAAAAATGGGAATTCACAAATGCATGGGATTGATTAGTCAATATTTAAAACTTTGTTTAAGTTAATTATCTGAAGCACATTTATTTATATGCCTTTTATTAGGGTACTTGGATTCAAGTTCTGAAGGTGATGATCTTGTTCCGGGAACAACGCTGGAGATGCCCTTCTGGATGGCACGAGCTTTGTGCAGTCGCAAGCGCCACATTGTGAGTGTTGAGATCCCTAAACAGTACAAGGAGAGTTATCGGGAGATCTTAACAGCAGACGCTTCAGTTGTAGACCTCCACAAGCTAGGCCCATTTTACTACAGCTATGGATGTCAGCTTCTTCGGTTTGAACTTCCTGACAGTGGAGACATTTCAAAAAGTCTGCTCAAGGTAGGCATGCTATATCATTTTATGTCTTTCCTGCTTTTCATTGTATGTAAGGGAACTCTTTTTTTCATATTGATGAAGTAGGCATAGATCTAGATTTCTTCTACTTTTTTTCAATCGTAATTAAGGAGACTGCCAGGGCTGGGAACCTAATATGATAATATCAATAAGTATTCATACTTCACTCTTGTTTGTTGACTCTTTTGAACTTCTTGTTCTTGTGCGTAAACACTTGCATTATAAAACAGGTCTCTTTTACAAGTGTAAAAGAAGAGGTAGAGAAAAACATACATTTGTATATCTAATTTTTACAACTGGACACATACGACAACACATTTATTCATGCATTAAAGTACTGGGAATACAGACAAACTTACAATAAAAAAAAATCACCTTTAAGGGATCCAGTTCTAGTAAGGGGTCTGTTATTGTTACTGGTTTCTTACTACAGGTTGAGCTAGCTGACATGAAAATTACAGCAAGGGGAGTTTTACAAGTGGTCAATCTCTTAACATAGATGGTCTTCGATACAGGTTCAATTAAGGTCATAGGAGTGTATTGCTAAACAGAAATAGGAAGTACATCCCTAGTTGAAAATCCAATGTAGGGAGACAGTATCACAATTTCCCCATAATCTAATGTTTACTATCAAAGTGATGAATATTATATGCTTATTATTGACAGAACAGTGTGTTCTTTCAATATTAAAGTATTGCAAAGCAATCCAGGCATTAATTCAGTTGTTTTTTAATCAATGAGTCACATGTGTCCAATTTTCTGTACTTAAGGAAACCTGCTACCTATTTCACTACTGTAAAGTTTTTCAAGAACGATTACTCTTGCATGCAATTACTATGTGTATATGGTTTTATTATAAAATGTCAATTTTTAATCGTTTATAGATAATTAATTTTACACAATTTCAGCATTTATGAAATTGATATACATTAATGCAATACTGATCTATGTTAGTATCATTTTTATTGACATTATTTTGCAAAAAATTGTGTGTTTCAATATTTTGCAAAAAAATCACTCCTTTTTACATAAATTTCCATTTAAAATCCTTAAAATTCTGACAACCTATATTTTTTTTGTGGTAGAAAATTTTCTTTACTTGAAAGCAATATAACTACAAAATTTGAATACATTCTACTGAGAAATGGCGACACAATCCTATTACCTTAATGGGAACATAGCTACATGTACTATGGTTAGCTTTAAATTCGAGTTGGACTCTTGAGCAGAATTGACATTATAGTTTTTTATTGTTATTTTTTCAGACTTTCCAGACACGTTTAAGAAAAATTATGGACTCTTCACAGAACGCTTTGAATGAAGACACAACAAGACTTACGGAGAAGTTGGATGAGTCCGAGAGACTGTTGTTTAAGGCTGGACAGCAAGGCCTCAATGACTTTTATAAGTGGGAAACAAGACAAATAGAGAAACTGACCACATCAGAGATGGTCAGACATCACCGTAAACGGAAACGAGGGGCATTAGAGGATGCCTGATTAAATATCATAGATTCTTCCTTAACCTCAGTTCTTTTTATCAGGGAATATAACCATTACTGTATATTTTGCTTTCGCTATCTGAGAAAGTCACAATTGTTGAAAATCTTGGCTCTGTTTATCAGGGAAAGTCTATATTACCATAAATCACTTCTATTTTCCCAGGAATCATTTTTTTGTAAAACTTCACAAAAGAAGAGTCAAACACTCAGTCAAATATTCAAGTGGTGAAAATGAGTTCTGTCAGTCTGGTTGTTTTTACGATTAATTTCTAGTGTGACCAGTTACAGTAAATAACACTCTTTATGGTGCAAAGTTAATAACAATATTTATGAGAATTTATGTAGCACAACTGGTGAAGGGTTTGTGTGTGACATGTTGATTACTAGTACAGTATGTACTCTTGCCACTTTCATCAGACAGTTGGCAAGTGAAGATTATAGCATAACAAAATCAATGTCGATTTTATATTGCCATCTTGTACAATCTTTACACCTTTGTGTACATATATGTAACAGGAAAGAGAATAGTGTGCTTCCACTGGGAATCAAACCCTCAATCTCCAGGTTCTTAGTCGTATGCTCTATCACTGAACTATAGGGAAATTCCCTCTACCTCGAAACTAGAAGGCGACCGTAATCCTATTGCAAAAGATGTGCATTGATTAGGTTGCCTTACAAGCGTCGGCTATAGGGAATTTCCCTTTAGCTCAGCGGTAGAGCATCGGGCTGGAGAGCCAAGGGTCGCAGGTTCGAGCCCCAGCGACAGCACTATCTTAATCACTATTCCTCGTCCTTCAACACTATATACAATTGAAATCTGCCACACTACTCCCCTTTTTTAAATATGTTTGCCCTCGAACACCACAACCCAGTTTTTAACTCCCTGTCACCACAGGAAGGGCCAAGGACACCATTTATAACAGGAAATGGAGTAATGTGCTTCCAACGGGGATCAAACCCGCCATCCTAGACTTCCTAGTTGGATGCTTTACCACCGAGTTAAAGGGAAATTCCCATTAGTTTGAAGCTAGAAGGAGACTGTAATCCTATATACAATTAAAATCAGCCACATATACTTCACTGGTCATTTGTCTTATAGATCTGACAGGTTATGTACTGCATTAGTCATCGAAATGTCGCACGTAAACACTTATTGGTTGTGTTACGTAAACCTTTATACATCTTGCCAGCCCAAAGAAAATGTTTAAAGAAATGTACAGTACTTTAATCTGTCAAAAAGCAAGGATGTGCCTGTTACCTGTATAAACATATGTCCAGAAATAATGGTCAAAAGTTTAGACTACAGATTTTAGCTAACCTTTCTGACAGCACTCTGTCCATTGGAACAAGGAAATCATATTATGTTTAAATAATGGGTATGACCCTCCCTTAGGGTCCGAGGGGTGTGTTTGCTGCGAAAAGAATTTAAACAAATTAGGTCTGAAGCATCACTAGGGCCAAGTGAACTTAGCATTTATGAAAGGTAAGGCTTTGGCCAAAACTTCATATCTGATTTTGGTTTGACAATTTCCAGTTCTTTTTAACTTTCACCAGGCAAATGGTCATCAGCTTGATCAACTTAAACTAATTCATGGACCTTAAAGGTACTGTTATTTTTTTGGGATTGATTTGAAATACAAAATCACCACCCTGATCTCTGATATGCTAAGTCAAGACGTTTTTGACTATTAATTTTAGTTGATTATACATTTTAGCAACAAATTGTCATTGCCCTTACGTTATTTGAATTCTTTAGGCAGTTTATATAACTCAAACCAGATGAGCAATACAAGCAATGTGTGTCACTTTATTTCTTCATTTAATTGATGTAATAAGATTTTTTTATTGTATTAAGTGTGAGTCACATTATCATGTGGTATAACTGAACACTTGTTGATTCCTCATAACAAATGGCAGCAAAAATGAAGTGTTATCCAGTGCTAAATGAAAAAAATTCAAGTTACTCAATCTGACCTTAAATACACTTTTATCTCTTCATTTACTAAATAATAATAATAATAATTTGAGGTTCTTTTTTACAGCTTTATCACAACCTAGTTCGTAGGTCGTCTCAAAGTGGTTCACAAATTATTATACATGTTTATAGGGCCTTTGCAACCAGCGAATATCTTTCTCAACTCCCCGGGGAGCATACAGCCGGAGCTGCCATTTTGGCACTAACAGCTAGCATTCAGCAATTCTAGCACTGCCCAACCACGAACTCATTTACAGCTGAGTAGACTGTAACAAGCGGAGTAAAAGTATCTTGCTCAAAGATGCAACACAGAGCCGTGCCGCAACTCAAACCTGCAACCCTTAGGTCATGAGCCCGGCTTCAGACCACTAGACTACTGTGCCTCCATAAATCAAGTATTCACAAATGTGTTCAAAGAAGTGAGGTAGGCTAGTATTACCCGTAGTACTCCCTGTAAAGGGTATATACCGTCTTTGCGTATTGCAGAGTTATCTTCTCTTGGGAGCAGGTATTGATTGTTACATCATTTGTTTGTGAGAGTAACGTCATCATTTTTTGAGAAAAAGACATAATTTTCTCGCACAAACCAATGACGTAACAATCAATACCTATTCCCAAGAGAAGATAACTCTGCAATACGCAAAGAGGGAATATAATACTGTAAGGGATTGTTTTCCTGAAGAGACTGAAATGATTTTAATCAGCGTATTGTTGTACTGTGCACCATTTTATTTATTTACAAGTTGATATAATACCAATGCTGATGTCATCACTCGTCTACCATAATGTTGATTATTATCCTCAATGATATTGTACATACAATAATATATTTTTGTAGCAATCATTGTCACAATGAAATTAAACTGAGAAGTGTAGCATAACCAAAACTTTTTGTTGGTTTTTAGAAATGTGTCGATTTTACATCAACTAGATCGAATTACTCATCTTTATATTCCACTTTCAGTTTCAGTTCACAAGTAGGGCTGTCATCAATCTGTTTATCAGTGTATGAAATACAAAATACATGAAAAATTAAGGAAAAAGTTAAGTTCAAAGTTCAAAATTCAGAGTCAGAGAGAGAGAGAGAGAGAGAGAGAGAGAGAGAGAGAGAGAGAGAGAGAGAGAGAGAGAGAGAGAGAGAGAGAAATGCAATGCGTGTGTGATGGTGATTTTTTTACATAGATTATAATTGTAAAACCGATGTATCACTGTAGTAGGGTAATCTGAAGTCCATATATGGTAAAACTTTATTGACGACGGCCCTATGACCTTCACTACTGTTGCCGTTGGACAATTTATCTAAATTCAAATATGGCCACTACTTTAATTCATTTGCCCAAAATATTTGTGACGTCTTCTTAAGAAGGACTATTCAGATTTTGAACAAACTTTGGTGAATATGCTCTCAATATGTCCAGGGACAGTATATACATTATACGTCCCTGATATGTCTAAAATAAATATGTTTGGCTATTTACTGGCGCTTGAATCAATTACCTCTCCTACTATAAATAAAAAGAAATATATTTGGCTATTATGTTTTAACCATACTTGATGCACATACATTTTAGCACGATAATGGATATTTAATATTTTCAAATCAGTACAGGTGCTGGAATCAGGTGTATTGGTATGGTTTGTTGTTGTGAGAGTTGCGCCCCTTTACACGCGTTAAAAACTAAATCAGGGTTTGTACTGACCACGAAAAGTGTTGGGATTTATGATGAGGTAGTTCAAATTGCTTCATTATTTAAACAAAAAGAGAATTGAAGTATGAGCGTTAACGTCATTTTCATTGATTTGAAACGGAGAAGAAAGTTTCCCTGTTAAGAGTTATACATACAAGGTAAGAAGGAAATTTTGCTCCGGCCCAAGTAACTGTCTCGGAGAAAATTAGCAGTACTGAGAAAAATGGGATGGATTTATTAAATGATGAGGCGATAGCTTTGGAACAGTTAAGTATGAAACCAGTGGAAATATCTCATTATAATCATCACACGAAAAGCGCCTGTAAGTCACCAGCCCAGTGACTAAGTGTAACTCATAATAACAACATCATCAAATGGTTTATTGACGATTATGGAAGAACTGTTAGTGTTTTGTTGGTGTTATAATAAAATTTGGTCCTATTTCAGAGTACTACGTTTACAATTTTTTTTCAATGAAATTCAGTTCGAACATATTGAGAAAAGCAGATAATGCAGAAACGGATATACTACAGAGGTACCGCAGCTCACCAGTGTCGGGTGGTCTATTTGGATGGCTCTGGATAATGTCAATAAAGAAACGCTTATGTATTTCAGTTTTGTAATTGGTGCAATGAATACGTAGCACATTCGTATAATAAAATTCAAACACGTGGAAAAGTTTCGAGTTGAACACATTCAGAAAGTTTTTATACATGATATGCAACGAAATCTCATGATCGGATATAGGCTATGGTGGCTACCGGGATATAGGCCTACGACTATGATGGCTACCGGGATATAGGTCTACGGCTATGATGGCTACCGGGTTATAGGCCTACGGCTATGGTGGCTACCAGGATATAGGCCTACGGCTATGATTGCTACCGGGATATAGGCCTACGACTATGATGGCTACCGGGATATAGGTCTACGGCTATGATGGCTACCGGGGTATAGGCCTACGGCTATGGTGGCTACCGGGATATAGGCCTACGGCTATGATGGCTACCGGGATATAGGTCTACGGCTATGATGGCTACCGGGGTATAGGCCTTCGGCTATGGTGGCTACCGGGATATAGGCCTACGGCTATGATGGCTACCGGGATATAGGTCTACGGATATGATGCCTACCGGGATATAAACCTACGGATATGATGGCTACCGGGATATAGGTCTACGGCTATGATGGCTTCCGGGATATAGGCCTACGGCTATGATTGCTAACGGGACATAGGCCTACGGCTATGATGGCTACCGGGATATAGGCCTACGGATATGATGGCTACCGGGATATAGGTCTACGGCTATGATGGCTACCGGGGTATAGGCCTCCGGCTATGATTGCTAACGGGATATAGGCCTACGGATATGATGGCTACCGGGATATAGGCCTACGGATATGATGGCTACCGGGATAAAGGTCTACGGCTATGATGGCTACCGGGATATAGGCCTACGGCTTTGATGGCTTCCGGGATATAGGCCTACGGCTATGATTGCTAACGGGATATAGGTCTACGGCTATGATGGCTACCGGGGTATAGGCCTACGGCTATGATTGCTTACGGGATATAGGCCTACGGATATGATGGCTACCGGGATATAGGTCTACGGCTATGATGGCTACCGGGATATAGGTCTACGGATATGATGGCTACCGGGATATAGGTCTACGGATATGATGCCTACCGGGATATAAACCTACGGACATGATGGCTACCGGGATATAGGTCTACGGATATGATGGCTACCGGGATATAGGTCTACGGATATGATGCCTACCGGGATATAAACCTACGGATATGATGGCTACCGGGATATAGGTCTACGGATATGATGGCTACCGGGATATAGGTCTACGGATATGATGCCTACCGGGATATAAACCTACGGATATGATGCCTACCGGGATATAAACCTAAGGATATGATGGCTACCGGGATATAGGTGTACGGATATGATGGCTACCGGGATATAGGTCTACGGATATGAT